ATTCCAGAGCATCGCGACTCATCTCCCGGACCTATGAGAACCAAAAAAATCCAGCTCAGTTTCTAACAAAATCTATTCTTCTCAGACAGATCATACAATCTCTTTTGTTTTAAGTAAAATTAAATAAATACCTGTTGATGACTAAGGTGTCCCATCTCTTTGTATCCCAAAGCCAGCACTCTTGCCCCTTCCCGAGACATTTCCTTGTGGACTTCGTCATAACTTGCTGGACAGTCTGCAAACTACAATCATAGCCACATCAGAATACCAGTAGGTACACTTAATTGGGACAGAGCATGTATGTATTAAGGGCGGTGTCCATATATACCATTCCTCTGAGTGTCTCTGGAGCTCCCTTGACAGTTGAGATGTAGCAGAGTTCAGTGGAGCCCAGTTTCTCATAGGAGGCTAGGACCGACATCCTCTTCAATGCACTGGCAAAGTGAAAACGCTGGTGGATCTTAAGTCCCTGGGTTTTGATGCCTCGTGCGAACACCTTTTCATCTGGTCAAAGAGGCAAGAGTCAATGAGGCAAATGATTAAACATTATGCCATGAAGAACAAAGGTCCCCAAATAATAACACTGACGTTACAGTGCATTTGAAAAACAGAATCATTTTAAAATACACAAGTCAAATTACACCTCCAAGCTGAACAGGTGCAACCTGAAAGACTGCAAGTCAAATATGTGAAAATTTGAACGGGACACATGGCTTTATGTAACACAAACATGAGCATACACACGTTCTCACACACACATACCACTGCCATGCACTGTGGATTTAGTGGGGGTAATTTCTCAGTACCTTTAGTGAGAGTCCAGTCAGCAGCAGTCAGCATGGCCTTCTCTAGAGGATCTCCGACAAGCTGTCCATCATCCAGAGTGACCAGTGAGTGACAGGTGGCCACCACCCGATGTGTCTCAACTGGGATCTCAGATACAGGCATCACCTCCTTTCCTTCTCTGTCATAAATGCAAACATCAGTTGACAGGCTCCAAAGAGTGCAAATGTATGTAATTGTAAGTAAAACACTAAGAATTATGGGCAGGTTTTACCTGAGGCCTGCTACTCCTCGTACCACCAGACTGTCACTGGTTAGTGTTCCTGTTTTGTCAAAACAGCAAACCTCTACTTTCCCTGCAAATGGTATCCTGAAGGGCTCTGTACAGAATACATCTAGGCAGGGGCAGAAAAAGAAGACTTGAATGAACCACTGCTGTACAGGATTTGTATTATAAGCTACTTTTTCCAGGTATCTTAAAATATATTAAACACACATGCAGGACACACAGACATACAAAGTTTAGCCAGGGCGATAAGAGATGTGTTAACTGCCAGAGAAAGCTCTATGGGGAGTTCTGGTGGAACCACTGAGGTGAGGATTAGCGTGCACTCCAGAAACAGCTTGTACCGGTTCCTGCTGGCATCCTTGGTCCCTGAGGGAGTAATACAAAGCACAAAGATAGTATTTAGATATTACTTGCCATCTCCTCCAGCTATTAGCTAACACCTTGGCTAGGATAATGTCAGTGTTATTGTTAAAGCTCCAGTGTGGGATCTGTTGGCAGAAATGGAATATAAATCAGGAGGTATGTTTTCATTAGGTGTATAATCACCTGAAAATAAGAACTGTTACTGCAAACTACACTGCCAGATGCAATTAACTCACTGGTCCTTTAAATAAGAATTACATCTCAATGAATTGATTCTGTGCACCTCACCTTCTACCCACACATAAACAGCTGCAGCAATGGCAAAAACAAGGAGGAAGAGGATGAAGATAAAAGTCTCCATGTTGTTTGCCGTCACTCTCTTCACACCAAAGAGGATGGTCCGTAACAGTTTTCCCTGGAGACACAACAAAACATTTACACATATTTAGAACACTTTCACAGCTGACTCAACATGTCTTACGCTGACATGCAGTCAAAATAAGAATTAAATGCCAAATATAAGGAAAAAGGAGGGTAGTAGTATAGAGCAACTTCCTCACCTGAGACGTGTAGAATCCCGTTCTCAGTACATAGGCCACACACCCATTATCTACAGCTGCACATACATGAGAAGATTTATGAGCTTGCACATTGTTTTGATGAAGATGGGTGATGGATGAACTATAGAATTCACTGACTGACATAACAGCCAGTATATGTTGTTGGTAACAAATGGTGTGAGGAATTAGCACTTACGTTTGAGTCCAGCACTGGCCTTTAAAGGGGGGCTATGTTGGACGACTTTTGTCCCTCCAGAGATGATGTGGAGTCGAGAGTCTGTCTGAAGGTCCAGGATTCGCTCTGGGTCCAAGTCCTCCACTGGCTCCTGCACACCTCATATTGTCAGCAGTAATTAAGATACCCCCAAATAATCCCACATCATTTAGAATAATTGAGTCTAACACTTAAAAGTCTATGCCCTCAGATGTGTATAGTATTATCATTTCTATATGAGTTTGTCTCTAACCTTCATCTGGGGCACAGACTCCCCGGTCAGCATGGCCTCATCCACAATGCATCGGCCCCTGAGTAGCAGCACATCACACGGTACCAAGTTGTCCTGGGGCGAACGTCCTGTGAGGCAGAACGCACATTTTAAACACATGCTAGTCAATCTGATATTTGTGGTGAGAACTTCTAAAAACGTTGACGGGACATTTACCTATTGAGACGATGTCACCAGGGACAAGCTCATCACTTGAAATAGGTCTCCACTTCCTATTGCGATATACCTGGCACAAATTGCATAAAGTAAATTTTGGATGCGTTAAATACATAGGAAATATACTGCAGATAATGGATTTTGAGATGCAAGACAAAATGTTTGTTTATAACTTTAACTGAAATTTGATCAAGCCAACCTGGATCATGTAGGGCTTGTTACCCATACGGCGGATCTCAGACATATTCCTCATTTGCTGCTGGACAAGAGAGGCCTCGAATGCCACCAGCATGAACAGTGTGAAAACACTGTAGTACCAGTACTCATCCAGACACCACAGCCCCACACAGAACACCTGATGGAGGGCAGACAATAGATGACTTCACATGGATACAGACACTACTACCAGGTTAACAACATCATTATAAGAAGTATAAAGACCATTTTTACAACAAAACCACGCAAATTATCAAGACACACCCTCACACACACCTGGAAAACAAAAAAGGGAGCTGTGGCCCTCTCTTTGAAGAGCTCCAGGAAATCTGGCACTACCATCTCGGCACGATTGGTGCCGTAGCACTTCTCTGCTGCTCTGAGTTCAGTCTCCTCCTGGTAGCCACGCCAGGACTGAAAGTGGCCCATTGGGTGGTTTATAGGAAATGCTATTGGAAGGAAACATTTCTTCTCTTTGTGGTCAAATGTGTAGCGGATCTTTTGAAACTCAAAAGATAGAATCCGCTCCCCATTCTCATCCTGTTGGTCAAAACAAGGGAAAGAAAGAAAATTTTATATTACAGCTTTCATTCAAGAAAGGCAAATTAATATTTTTTTAGGTTTAACGTGTGTGAGATGATCTGTGAAATGTTTCCAATTAAGTGAACCTAAAGCATCCTTTAGTTAACACGTGAACTGACCTGGTCCCTCTGTAGTGCCACAAGCTCAGCAAAACCGTTGTTGGGGGTGGGTATGACCTTTGCCAGCGTAGCCTTGTTTGGGTCTGGCTCCTGTGTATACAAATGAACAGGTGACAAATTTACACACTGTGGCAAGTCAGTGTTATTTTTGTATAGCTGTGTGCCTCTGGAGCTTTGTCCCTCTCAAATGATACATGCCCTGGCACACAGGTGCTTTATCAATATGAAGTTCAGGCACATTCTTTCTTAACTTTGTCCTTCACTTCAACATTTGACCACAAATATTGTACCCGATAACATTGTTGATATAAATCTATTATTACATTTTTATTGGATTTAGACTTTCTTTTACAACGGTTTACTAAGTAAACTCACAGAAATGCTGAGCAGCATGCCAACTATCAGTCATCTATCACTGTAACATTATTGTGGTATTATTGTTGATATTGTGTCATGAAACTATTTTCTCTTTAACAGACATGCTGGTAATGTCCTCCATAGTCAATATTTTGACGTCCACTTCCAATAACCATCTGATGAATGACAGCTAGGAACTGGACAGGTGGTTTTCTATCCTAAAGAGACAGTATCATATATCAATCAGCAGTCTGCCTTTAGGGTTGTATAATTATTATTTTTCTCTAGTTAAAGGTGCTTGAAGACAGTGTAATGTACAAGACAGTCACACCTGTGCTTGGCAAAAAGAAAATGTAGCAATAATCTTCCAATGTCTTTGAGGGTCTTTTGAATAAAACAACCATGGGCATCATGTCCACAGGTCCTGAGAAACTGTCCTTTTTCTTTCGTACCTGCGCTCTGGATCCTAACCTTAAAGCTTGTGTATAGAGTATTTCTAAAAGCAGAGGGCTCCCTAGAGCTGTCAGTAGAACATCGCACTATTATTGTTGTTATAACTAATGTTTACCTTGGAACAAGTGAGCCAACAGTGCGCATGCACGGACCAATAACCAGAGAGCGCTGTGAGGACGTGCGCGATCCCGATAGCGGCTAACGCCAGGAGGCCTGCCTCCGGATACTCGGAGGCACCGTAAACTCCTAACCACACGTACAGCCAGCCTGGGTAGAGAACAAGCAGAAACGGGAGGACGGTGCCGTGTAGCAGCCGGGGCCTTCGCCTGTACAGAGTCACCGAGCTCACCAGCTCGTCGCCGGTGCCGCTGCCGCTGTCATGCTGGTTGTGGTTAACAGAGGGGGCCATTTGCAGCTCACCCGGTTGCCGGATCCCGTCTGCAGCCATACTCCCCTCTTTCTCGGCGTCGTTCATTGTACTGTGCGCACTCCTCTGGCCCCCTCAATCATCCACCACTACCCGGTCGTGCTGTAGCCGGTAAAAACACGATTCTCCGCTCGGAGTGGTGCTCGGTCCAGCCTTCAGAGCCCGTTTACCGAATCACTCGTTCTGACTGGGACTTCCGCATACGTAAACACGCAAATACACGTAATGTTTCCTTGGCACAGCGTGATTGAACCATGGATGGAACCGAAAAAACAAAATAGATATTATCTTTTACACAGTTAAATTGTGTTGTTCTGTTTAAACGGCATATAACATATGAGTAAAGGGATTTCTTTGACAAAATGTGAACTGTATTTGTATTTAAATGCTTGAATTGTGTTATGAAGTAGCTACCCCTTTAAGGAATTCGTCGTCATTTTAGGGGCGTGGCCAGAGTGTGAGATTGACACAAATCTGAACCAATTATGTCACAATATTGTATTATCATCCAATCAGATAGCAGGGGACGTGTGCGGTGTAGTATCCGCACAGACATGGCTCCACATGTAGAAATACTGGCGCTATATAACCTTGATTGATCAGCTTCCTCGTTTGAAACAAGCCTGAAAGAGCAACATGTAAGACATTTAAATATGGCTCGTATCATTACATTTACTGTGTTCTCTAGTCTAGATATAAAGGTAGATACAGACTGTAATCAAAGACATGCTACCTTGTGAATCAGGCTGCATTCAACTACTTTATTCCTTTTCCTATATTGCTTGTGCTTTTTTATCGCAAGTTTATACACTGGACTTAATCACTGACTGATTTCCATTTATCTGTTACCTTTCAGGCAGGCTGCTATGGATATCACGGCAAAGTATTGCCATAAAGAAATGGAGGCATATGGGTCATGTGTGGCCTCCAACCCATCAACATGGCAGCAAAAGTGTCATGAACTGAAGATGAAGGTTGCACAGTGCACATCATCACAGTAAGGCAACATACTGTACAGAGCGTACATTCACTCCCATTTGACTCTAACAACCTTAGGCCCACATTTTTACACATTGCACACATTTGTATCTAACCCCTACATTTGTTTTGATAGCCCAGTGATCCAGAAGATCAGACAGGACTGTACCAGTGAGTTTGTGGAGTTTGAGCGCTGTCTGAGAGAAAACCAGGACAAACCTACCTCCTGCTCACCACATGTGGCTCGCTTTCTGGGCTGTGCAGAAACTGTAGATATCAGTGGAGTGGGTAAGTCCTTGCTGGAATAGGCCATGCATAACTCAAGGTCATAAACAGTTATGAATACCAGTGATTAAAACTTAAGAGATAGGAATGTGCAGATTATCCTCTCTTGAAGAAGCAGGGGTCTGTACTGGGCATCTTTAGAAAGTCTGATACAAAAGCACACCCATGTCTACAAATGGGACTAATACTGCACAACCTTTTTAGAAGGTATCAGTTTAATAGTCAACATACCAATAATAATAAACCAACTTTTTGCTGAGTGAACCTGAGGAAGCAGCAAGTGAAATACATTGTTGGCTCTTCACAGTAAAGTCACTCCAGTGTGCGGTGGTAAATTCAGATTTTTTTAATACCAATAAATTCCCTTTCTTTTCTTTTCTTTTCTTTTCTCAGCTTCACATCCGGTACCTCAGCCATCGTAGCATTCAAACATCTTCCATCACCTTCAGATTACTCCTGTCTCCAAAGCAGCAGAAATGGGCTGGTTTCACATGTTACTGTATGTACAGTGACTGTGAGGATATTGTTTTTTTCCTTTGTGTGATTATTTGTCTTTCTTCAACAAAGATATAGGAAATGAATGCAACAGTACTGTGAGTTAGACTAGTTGTGTAGAATATTTGATTACTAAATTGTTCTTTCACACATCATGTAAATGTTGTGTTCACGTGAAAATAACATTTATAATTGCCTGTGTGCAAGAAAGTCTGTATTTTACAGATTTTTATTGAACCATCTTATTAAAATTGACATCAGACTTGTGTTATTCATCCGGTGTGGGCATCCTATTGTTTTATGTTGCTTATGTCTGTCCCTCCCACCCTCGCCCTCTCCAGGTCTGAGTCAAAGTCAAATATTAAACTGGAATGTAATGCTCCCACACAAACTCTCCTGAATACTCAATGACTGAGAAATAGGGAGTCTGGGAAGAAAGGAAGGAGAAGGAGGAAGCTGTCTACTTCTAATCAGCAGGACTACAGAGAGAGACAGAGGGAGGATGTTGAGTTATGAGCCCTGTGACCACTAAGCAGAACGGACCCTTTCTGGTTCAATTATTAAAGCTTAGAAGGGGGTAATGGAGGAGAAAAGGATTCATTTCTTTTCAAGTGTAATATCTTCCATTTAGATGAGATGAGAAAGTGATCAGTGCATCATCATTTGTCATATTAACAATAAGGCAAGCACACTCCAAATATGAAATTGCAGATTGTATTGAAGATACGGCAACATTACATTCAAAGCACATCACCTGGCAGTCACTGAACAAAAAAAGTAAGATAGGAACTCGCCTAATACCGCACAAATAAGTTACATTCACAAAAATATCACTGTAAAAATACCATGAGTCAGTGATCAGAGTCAAACATAATGTCATGAAAGAATGTCACAAGCTGTAGCCAATCACTGGCACCTAAATGAAACAAGTATCACCTTAATCCTATTTTATTCTGCACCACATTGTGAGTCTGATCCTGATGCTTTCTGCAACACTTGCTATTCAACTTAGTTTGGAGGCTATTCCTTTAGACCTACTTTGTGACACATAAATATCATGCTACAGTTTAAATATTTGCAGATTATCACAGAAGAAGGTACAAAATATCTACCTAACAACATCTAATTTGAGATGTTTGAGAAAGAAATTATTACAGAAAGTGACTACAACAATTAATTGTAACACAGTCATACTCACATTTACATTTGGGACACATTATAATGTACCCAGTGTTCTAACTTTGGGGCATTATAGATCCATTGGTTGTCATTTACTGCACTGCTTCTTAGTGATTACGTTATAAAAGACAAGGGAAAGCTAAAGCAATAATCACTTTTACAACCCTGTTTCCGCATAAGGCTCTTCAAATTACCCTGTAGTGTTGTCTAAATGCAAAAAAAAATTGATAATTTTTTGGTCCATATTATACCTGTCATGCATTATGAAAAACTAATAATGTGGTTTGCAATGATAATTTTACATGGTGAGTTTCTTCCTCTTTGCAATCTACGTTCTTTAAGTCATTGGGCTAGTTAAATTGTAATCCTATCCAGCACAATATCCTGAGTTATCGCTCAGGTTACATAAAACATACACACTAACCTGAGAGCAAAATTGTACTCCAAGCCATATACAGGATTGTATATGCTGCAGTCTTTCACGCACAATAGCTAATCACTAGTCCTGTCAACAACAAAAAGTTATGCAATATACTAATTTAAGTTTGACCCTCAGCTGCTCATAAGACCTGCCAAGACTCTTAAATACATGTAACTTGATTGATGAATTCACTTTCAACAACCAATTATTGTCTGTAATTCATGATATACATATTAATGCTTGATAAGTGTCTTTGTTGTTTTTTGTTGGAAAGTGCCATGAAACGTGTTTAATTGAACATTACATAAATACAACAGAAGAAATTGAGGTCTTTTTACATATCTTGGACATTTACAGTGTCTGTATTTCCAGCATGTGATTCTTATCGAGGAGGGATAATGGGAACATTATGGGAATCTGCTGCAAACTGATATTATGACCATGGCTGACCTGTGATTATTTTGGCCTATGATAAAAGCTCAGAAGTGTGTTTGGGTGTAGGCATTTTCAGAGTGTGGTCCCACAGGCATGTTGATGGACATACTCCATTAGCTGCATCTCTGAGGTGAAAGGTGGAAAAGGAGGGGTAAGGGTGAGAGTTTATGAGGGTCAGGAGGTGAAGTAGGAGTTCTGCATGGAGTAGAGACGGTCAATGGGGTTTCCCACTCGCCCTGGCAGGAGACTGCCGTCCCCAGTTGCTAAGAGGCAGTCTCCAAGGTGACCGAGGCTTCCATCACTGTCCAGGTCATGGAACACCGTCTCTGAATCTGCAGAGAAAAATAATGTGCACAGCTCAAGTGGAACAATCTTTAACTAGTAACAGAGAGTCCTGGAGATTAGAAAAACACATGAAAGTAGTAGTTATTTTTACTCATAATAATAATACATTTTATTT